AAATCATATCAACAAAACACATATAGAAAAACTTTTGATAAAGGTTAACTTCCATGCATGGCAAAAACTCTCAACAGACTAGGACTAGAAGGAAAACTACCTTAGCCTAAAAAAGAGTAACAATACGAACAAAAAATCTGCAGCAAACTTCAAATGCAATAGTAAAATACTGAATACTTCACCCTAAAATCACAAACCAGACAAAAATCCTATTTTCACCACTTGAATTCAACATTTTATGGAAGATTTTCTCCATTGCAGTAATATAAGAACAAGAAATAAAAGGCATAAAGTTCAGAAAGGAAAAAAAAAAGCTGTCATTATTTGGAAATACAATTATGAAAAATTAAAAAACTTACATATAATCTAGAATAAGTGAATATATCAAGATCCTTAAATACGGTATGAATATACAAAAATCAATTGCATTTCTATTCTAGTACAAAGTTAGAAAACAATTCTATTAAAGCTCATCCGAAAACATCAAACACTCATAAATGTATAAAACCTACAAAGAATAAAATGAGCCTTGACCTATACCTCAAGAAACACAAAATTATAAATCTGATGGAAAACAGTCTAAAATATAAAATTTTTTTTAAGAGTATAGAATATAGCTCGGGAAAATATCTTCATGACCTTGGAAGTTTAAAAAAACTTCTTTAAAGGAACACAAAAGGACTAATAATAAAGAAGTTTAATTAACTGGAGTTACTAAATCTAAGAATTTCTCTTCAATAAAAGATCCATATGGAGAGGGAAAAGCCAAGCCACAGAAAGGAAGAGATAATCTGGGCACCTGTACCCAGAATATACCAGTAAGTCAGACAACCTACTCTCAATCCCCCACCCACTCCCAATCTAACATCAGAATATGCACTTCACACACACACACACAAAATCTAAGTTATGTATAGTGATATGAAAATGGGTGTAAGTTAAAGACTTAAGAGAAAATATAAAATGAAATTGTAATCCAATATTACTACTCACCCTCCAAAAAAATTGCTAAAATTTTAAAAACAAATAAATAACCAAGTGTTGGTGAGGTTGTGAGCAACTGGAACCTTCTCTGTTGGTGGGTTTTTTGGTAAAAATTAGCAAACTGGTGACCACTTGGGAAATTTTCTGGCATTATCTACCAAAGCTGAACAGGCCTATCCAATGACCCAGAAAGTTTATATGAAACACAAATGAGTGTCTCTGTCTCCCAAAAGACACGTACAAGAATGTTCATAGCAACATTAACATGGCCAAAAACTATAAACAACTTGAATACCCACCAACATTAGTATGAATAAATAACTTGTGGTATATTTATACAAAGGAATACTGTGAACTAATACAAAGATGAATCACACAAGCATAATGTTGAGCAAAAAGCCAGAAACAAGAGTATGTATTATATAATTCCATGAATAAATAATTCAAAAACAGGCAAAATAAATCAACAGTGATAAAGTCAGCATAAATAATTAATATGGAGGTGCTTACTCACAGAGAGGAGGCAGTGGTACCTATTGTACGTAATGGTTACACAAGTACATGCAAATGTAAAAATCCATTGAGTCAAGTGTGCATAGAACTCAATTTAAATAAATGTATTTTCAGACAAATAAAAGCAGACAGTTTATCATCAGACAGGATGAAATAATAAAAGGAATTTTTAAGTCAAAATGAAAATGTTATCAAAGGGAAGTCTGTGACTATAAAAAGCAAGAGAAAAATGTGAATATATGAGCACATCTAAAGGAACAGAACCAGTAGTTTTGGAGGTTTTAAATATATGTACTACTGAAGACATAACAGCAATGACCCAAAAAAGGTTTAAGTCAGATAAATCAGAATTAGCAAAATACAAATTTGCCAAGACTACATATGGCAATCTCTAGAGAAACCAAATGAAAAGTTAAACTAAGAAATTAATAAATGAGGGAGAGAATAATTTAAAATACTCCATTATAGGAATTAAATACGTAATACAGAATGGGCAAGATAAATAGAAAACAAATAGTAATACATAATTCCATTACATATAGTCAAATGACTATATACTTCAATTAAAAGATGAGATTATCAGACTGGATTAAAAAATAAAACTGGGGGGGGGGGAACCTGGCTGGCTCAGTCAGTAGGGAATGTGATTCTTAATAAGTAAATAAAATCTTAAAAAAAAACAAAGGGGAGCCTGTGTGGCTCAGTGGGTTAAACCTGTGCCTTTGGCTCAGGTCATGATCTCAGGGTCCTAGGATCAAGCCCCGCATGGGGCTATCTGCTCAGCAAGGAGACTGCTTCCCCCTCTCTCTCTGCCTGCCTCCCTGCCTACTTGTGATCTGTCAAATAAATAAATAAAATCTTAAAAAACAAAGTAGAGAATGTGATTCTTGATCTTGGGGGTCATGAGTTCAAGCCCTAAGCTGGGGGTAGAGTTCCCTTAAAAAACAAACAAACAAACAAACAAAACCTATATTCTACTGAATAGTAAACATACCATAAGATTATATAAAGCTAAAACTCTGGATGGATGGAATAAGATATTTAATGAAAATACTAATAAAAAGACCTAGAATCATTCTAGTCACATCAAATTAAGGAAAATTTCAAAGAGCATTATTTAGAGACAATAAGGATCATTCTATTATGATTAAAAGAGTTAATCACCAGGAAGATACAATAACTTTATATTTGTTATCAGTGAAAAATAAAAGAAATAAAGACTAAACAAATCCTCTATCAGGAAACAACAAATCAAGCAGAGAAAATAAAGTAAGGATGTGGAAGATTTGAACAAGGTTAATGATTTTAACCTAATATTTATATAAAATGCACGGCAAATTTCAAAGGACTAAAATCAAGCACAGAGACTGTTATGGAATTACACTGCAACTCAGTAACGGAAATACACTTAGAAAACCCTCCAAGTATTTAGAAATTGAACAACAAACTTCTAAGTTAATAGATAAAAAGAAAGAAAACACAATGGAAATTTGAAATCACATTAGAAATCACACTGTATTTTGAGCAAAATAACAAAGAAAATATGACATATCAAAACTTATCAGCTATAGATAAAGCTGCCTAGAGGAAATCGTACAGCCTTAAACACACATTTGAAAAGAAGGGCTAGAGGGGCGCCTGGGTGGCTCAGTTGGTTAGGCAACTGCCTTCAGCTCAGGTCATGATTCTGGAGTCCCGGGATCGAGTCCCACATCGGGCTCCCTGCTCAGCAGGGAGTCTGCTTCTCCCACTGACCTTTCTCCTCTCATGCTCTCTCTCATGCTCTCTCTCTCTCAAATAATTAAAAAAAAAAAAGAAAAGAAGGGCTAGATATCAATGCTCTAATTATCTATCTCTAAAAGTTATAAAAAGAATAGCAACTTAAAACAAAAGAGAGTACAGCCCACTTCTCCCTCTGCCCTTACCCTGCTCATGCTCCCGCAAAAGGAAAAGAAGGAAAAGAGAAAAGGGGTGCCGGGGTGGCTCAGTTGGTTAAGCGTCTGCCTTCTACTCTCTAATAAATGAATAAAATCTTAAGAAAAAAAACAAAGAGAATAAAAGGAAGAAAATATTAAAAGCAGCAATTACTGAAACAAACAAATATACAATAGAAAAAATAAAACTGATAAAGCTCTAGCATGAAAAATGAAAAAATGAGAGGTAAAAATAATAAGTATAGTAATAACTGTGAAAAATTAGATGACATGGGCGAACTTAGCAAAACTAACATATAGATAGAAAATCCAATCTGATTTCCACTAAAGAAATTAAAAACTGTCTTATTTGTAACCTCCAGGCCCAATGGTTTCACAAGTGGAATCTTCCCAAACTCTTCCAGAGAACAGTAAGAGAGGCCAGCATAACCAAAATCCCAAAATCTGATTGGTATTTTATTTTATTTTTTTTTTTAGGTTTTATTTATTTATTTGACAGACAGAGATCACAAGTAGGCAGAGAGGCAGGCGGAGAGAGAGGAGGAAGCAGACTCTCCACTGAACAGAGAGCCTGATGTGGGACTCGATCCCAGGACCCTGGGATCATGATCTGAGCCAAAGGAAGAGGCTTTAACCCACTGAGCCACCCAGGCACCCCTGATTGGTATTTTAAGTAGGAAAATTACAGACCAGTTTCTCTTCAAGAATCTGAACACAGACACACACACACACACACACACACACACACACACCACACATACCACACACCCACACACAGAGTAAGCTAAGTGCAATGAGACATAAAGATAATACAAGGTTGGGCTTATCTTAGAAATGCAAGGTTAGTTTAACATTTGAAACTAAATCGTTGTAATTCAACACATTAACAGAGTAAAGGAGAAAAGCCTTAAGGGTCTTAAAAGATGCTGATAAAACATTTTCTTAAAATCCAACACAATTCATAATTGAAAAGTAAAATCAACCAGGTTGCTAGGTATGAAGGCAAACAAAATTCCACGATATTTCTAATTACTAGCAAAAAAACAACTAGAAAATGAAATTTAACAATTCTAATTAAAATAACAAAGAATACCACATTCCTTTATCAACCGGCTGACTCAGTATCATTAAGGTATCAATTATCTACAAATAAATCTCCTATTTCAGTGCAATCCTAATCAAAATTCAAGCAGATGTATGGGTGTGGATTTTTAAGAGTATTTCCGAAACTGAAACATTCAGTGTAAAATTATATGAAAATATCAAGGGCCAAGAACAGAGGAGGAGAAGAAGGAAGCTGGAGGAATTACAATACCAGATACTGAGACTTCTTAATCTAGAGTATGTAAGACTGTGGTACTGGCACAAGGAAACTTCCATTGACATGTGAAGAAAAACATCTTGGAAAAAAATTCCATGTAGAAATATTTCATCCAAACACTAATATATTTTCTGATTGATCATATAATGATAGCAAGGACATAGTATTTCAGTTAAATTCTCTCGTAAACTGTATAAAATTTTTTCCACAACAATTAGCAGAACTTTTATAAAAACTTTATCTCTTACCTCTCCAAAAGCTCCTCGACCTATCACCTTCAGTATCTCAAAGTCTTCTCTATGTAGGCGCATCTGTTTCACTTTAGAAGTAAATGGTTTGGCTGAAACAAAAGAACATCAATTACTTACATTAGATATATACATAATGGCATTTCTTAAGCAATAAATATTCAAATGATAATTAAGAATGAAGTCAAAATACGTCATAATCCCATCAAACTATATTAAGAAGAAATACATTTAATTTCCATAAGAAAACAATTTCCTTTATTTCTTGCATGTGAATTACATTTTTCATGATAAACATACTTCTAATAACATAAGAAATAATGCAAAGTAACAGCGATGTACAAAGGAGGCCAATTCATTTTCATGTAGAATTCTAACACTCAATGCTAGACATATTATTTTAACAACAAATGTCCAAGAAGTAAAAGCAAATTTCATGGAAGAACGAGTTTCAGCAATTCCAACCACGTAAATTCAGATTTCTTTCACATTCATTTATATACCCTTTTAACACTCCATTAGCAAGAGTCTACACTATATAAAACATGGTGGCACTCACCAGAGTTTGAACAATTATCAGTACAGTATGATACCTTCCTTCTTCAGGAAGTTCTAAGTCTTCAGGGCAGACAGACAGTAGACACACATACAAAATTTAACAGTGGGATGAAACTTCTAAGAGAGGTAAATATAAAGTGCTTCAAGATAGTTGAGAATGGAACACTAATATTTCACAGACGAAATAACACAGAACTGCACCTTGAGGACTAAGTAGAACTCTGCTACTTTCCCTGGGTTTGCAGTGGAGACATTCCAGGCACAGGGACCAATATAAGCAAATGCAGAGAGGCAAGAAAATGACCTTGAGGTGATAACAATAAATATTCCACTGCTGTTACAGAATTTTGAGAAGAAAGGCAAAGAAAATGGACCCAGAAAGTAGAAAATGTAATTGGCCTTGAATACCATACAAGGAATTCAGACACCCTATTAATAACAGCTGATAAACTGGCATTTTAAAAAAATCTTAAAATCAATGTATGTTCTGCTGCCTCTAAGAGAAATGTCAACCTGTCTTCCTTTCCTCCCTTCATGTCCCTCTTCGGTCTCACAAAAAAAGGAGTAACATGATTAAAGGGTCATGATCTATAGATAACTGGTCTCTTCCCCTTCCCTCCATGGGGCAAGAGTAATATTTATTTGAGCATTAGGAGAGTGAAACAGGCAAGGCAGTCCTTATAACTTGATTTGTTCTGAAGGTATTTTGCCCGACTAAATTAGAAAAGAAGGGTATTCCACACTGCATATCTCAGTCTAGTAGAGACTTCTGTGTTGGTGTTTTAGATAATAAGGAAAGGAAATAGAGATTGGCTATTTGGAATTCACACAACTAAGAAGATGATCAAAGGAATATCAAATTTGAATGAGGGTATGGAGGAGCTCATCCTAGGAAAAAGAAAACACACAAAACAATGGCACCAAATGAAGTGAACACTTCAAAAAAATTACTAAGGCACCTTGGTTTTTGAACAAACCAGACTGGACAAATTGGTGAGACTATGGCCACTGTGTACCAGTCAGGGTTCCAAACGGAAATACATCATAACTGGAGGAAAGTTTAAGGACAAATAGACTATTTGCAAAGTTGTAGGTGGGACATAAGGGAACCACAAGGGAGATTAGTCATCTATCTATCTAGGAGTAATCTGAGGCTGTGTCCCTCCCTTTCCCAGCTTCTGTATCAGTGTTTCAGAAATACATGGTTAAGGTGGGTAGGTACAGAATATATAAAATAAAAATAAAGATGTGGAGTCAGCCAGTATGAGTCTAGTGCTGGTCCAGTTGCCAGCTACAGCTAAAAAACATCATACAGCAGCCTACAACATAACATTTAGCAGTTGTTTTTTTTTTAAAGATTTTATTTATTTATCTGACAGACAGAGAGCACAAGTAGGCAGAGAGGCAGGCAGAGAGAGAGGAGGAAGCAGGCTCCCCTAGAGAGCAGAGAGCCCGATGCGGGGCTCGATCCCAGGATCCCGGGATCATGACCTGAGCCGAAGGCAGAGGCCTTAACCCACTGAGCCACCCAGGTGCCCCTATCAGTTCTTTAAATACAGCTTCTACCTCACTTTATATTCCTCCCACCTCAAGACTTCCAAATAACCTGAACCCAAATAAAGTATATGCTCCATATTTTTGTCTCATTACCGACACTAAATCCAAAAACAGCATTTCATCACAGACAACTACAGTTATTTGTAATCTACAATTATTTGTAATCTAATCTACCTTCTTTTAGGTAACATCCTACTTATCTAAAAAGTCAAAAATGGAGCATTTTCAAACCCCTGAAACACTATTGCAGAACAGGAAAAGAAACTTTTTTTTAAGTTAAATTCTATTAGCCAACATATAGTACATCATTAGTTTCTGATGGGGTATTCAATGATTCAAAGAAACTATTTTTTAAAACTAAATGAAATTTTCTCTATAAATGAAATTTATACAATTCAGGTACATAAACGGTTGCTAAAATGATCCTTTAGCAAAGATACAAAGGATGATAGTATGCCAAAAGAAAAAATCATTTTTCCATACACTAGCATATGCCCTGAAAGCACTACAAATGAGTACTATACAATCGTGTGATTAGGATTTTATGAGTTTTCCAAGTTTTATGGGAGACTTCAGCATTAACAGAAATTTTAAAAACAATCCTATCTATTCTTTACTTTCTGAAACCTGCTGGTAAAAATCCCATTTCCTTGGCACTGCAAAAGTATTCTATTTTAGACATTCAAAAATGAGTTAAGCCACAAATTTCTTCTGAAGGCTCATAGTTTTACTAATCATTTACTCAATTCACTCACAAAATACATTCTAATACCTGTGCTGTATATAAGATGCTAGAGATACAAAAGATAAATAGTCCCTGTCCTCAAGTAAACAAATTGTGCAATAAGTGTTACTCTTCCATTTAAAATGTTCCGTGTGAATACAAATGGCTAATAAACAGAAAATGGCACTCACAAGACATCAGAGAAATGCAAACAAACATACTAGAAATATTCTATTCCTTACCAATCAAATGTGCACCACCACCAAATCCCCCCAAACCCCCGCAAAAAGAAAAAAAAAAAGTGAAACCACCAAGTGTTTGTGGGTGTTTGAATTATGAATAACAGGTAGTCTCATACACAGCTGATATGACTTAATTACAATCTCCATGAAGAGGATTTGGTTTTCTATTTCATTCTTTCAATTTAGTATATTACTTAAGAAGATTTTAAAAGTTGAAACATCTTTATATACCTTGAAATAAACCATACTTGGTTGTAATGAATTTATTTAATACACAGATGACATTGCTTTGCTTTGATTTTTAAAATTTTACATCTGTGTTCATAAACAATGCTGGTCTACAATTATCTTTTTTTCTACACTGTCTTCATCTGGTTTGGGACCAATGATCAATCAACCTCTTTATGTTTAAGTAGCTTTCTCTCCTTTTTCAGTGTCTACACAAAATACAGTTTGTTTAAAGATCTCAAGGTGATAAACAAAACTAGAAAACTTTTAGAAGATGAAAGTAGAGGGGCGCCTGCATGGCTCAGTCGTTGAGCATCTGCCTTCAGGAGGGAGCCTGCTTCTCACTCTGCCTACTGCTCTCCCTGCTTGTGCTTGTGCTCACATTCTCATTCTCTCTAACAAATAACAAAATGAAAATCTTAAAAAAAAAAGAGAGAGAAGATAAAAGCGGAGACTCTGACTATAAGGTCTGATAAAACATGCTACTGAAAACATCTTTCCAGTGGACTTTTAATAGCTGACTTTCATATTATTGTCATTTTCATATTTTCCATTTCTTTTTGTGACAACTATGTTATACTTTTCTATAAATTTATATGTTGCACTGAAATTTTCAAATTTACTGGAATAAAGTAAAATAATTTTCTTTTGTTTTAAAACTATACAATATAGATATATTTGATCCCTTTTTAGATGCTAATACTGTATATTTGGATCTTTTTTCATTGTTTTTCCTTACAAATACAGCTGGAAGTTTGCATATTTTACATTAACTCTTCCAAATACATAATATTTAGACTTGCTGGTCCTCCATAAAATTCTGTGAGTTTTTTTCTTGTTTTAGTAGGTTCTTCCCCAAATTTATGCAAAATTTCAGAAAAAGTAGAAGCTACTATTAACCCTTCCCCTCCCACCAAATAACTAAGTTAGATATATTAATAATAAGCAAAAGAGATATTAGGGGGAAATGCATTAGTAGAATAAGGATTAAAAGGAGCCATACATAGAGCTTAAAAAAGGTGGGGGGGATAACCAGGACATAATGATTCTAAACATGTACGGACCAAACAACATAACCTCAAAATATGTAAAGCTAAACTAACAGACATAAAAGAAGAAACAAACTCACCTTCATAGATTTTACTGTAACTCTCAGTAATTGATAACCCAACAAGACCAAAAAAAAAAAAAAAAAAAAAAAAAGAGCACCATGCATGTAATGCTCCACCTATGAGTTGGAGAATATCATTTTAAAACACACACAGAACATCTACAAATTTTGACAACATGCCAAGACATAAAGCTGCCTCCAAAAAAATTCCAAAGTACTGAGAACATAAAAACCAAATTATATGAGTATAGTACAATTAGAAATCAATAACAGAAAGGATACCAGAAAAAACAATAAGCTCTGATATCCTAAACCAATTTTAAGGAAGAAATTAATAAGAATTAGAAAATACTCAGAACTACACAGTAGTAATAAAATACTATATAACAAAAGCAGACTAAACTAGTATATACTGGGGCAGGGGTGAACTCTCAATATTTACACTGGTAAAGAACAACTTAAAAATTAAGGTATTAAAGAGACCTTGAAGTATTAGACCAAAAGAATAAACTCAAAGTAGAAGAAAACAAAGAAGAAAGCAAAATAAATAAAATTAATTAATTTGAAAATAAGCACAGAATACAAAGGCTCAACAAGGCCAAAGGACAGTTTGTTGGAAAAAACTAATAAAAACAGAAAAATCTATACTGGGAATGAGAAACTGAACAAAAC